ATTGTGGGACTGTTTAACTGACTGATTGTGGGACTGTTTAACTGACTGATTGTGGGACTGTTTAACTGACTGATTGTGGGACTGTTTAACTGACTGACTGTGTTTAACTGACTGATTGTGGGACTGTTTAACTGACTGACTGTGTTTAACTGACTGATTGTGGGACTGTTTAACTGACTGATTGTGTTTAACTGACAGTGGGACTGTTAAATTAACTGATTGTGGGACTTTATTTGACTGATTGTGGGGCTGTGGGATTAGAAGATAGTGAGACTGTGGGGTTATGGGATTATAAAAGAGCTGTATTGTGGGGCGGAGGAGGTTCGGACCCAAAGGCAGGGGAGGTACCTGGGTCTCCTAAAAGATAATGAGGGAGAGAGGAAAGGAGAAGAGGGAAGGGAGAAGTGAAAGAGGGAAGGGGGGAGAGAGAAGAGGAGAAGAGAAGAGGGAGTAAAGGGAGAGGAGAGGAGAAGAGGGAAGGGGGAAGTGAAAGAGGGAAGGAGGGAGAAAGAAAAGGAGAAAAGAAAAGGGAGAGGAAAGGAGAAGAGGGAAGGGAGAAGTGAAAGAGGGAAGGAGGGAGAAAGAAGAGGAGAAGTGAAAGAGGGAAGGAGGGAGAAAGGAGAGGGAATGGAAAGGAGGTAGAGAGGAAAGGAGAAGAGGGAAGGGGGAAGTGAAAGAGGGAAGGAGGGAGAGAGAAGAGGAGAAGAGAAGAGGGGGGAAAGGGAGAGGAGAGGAAAAGAGGGAAGGGGGAAGTGAAAGAGGGAAGGAGGGAGAAAGAAGAGAAGAAGTGAAAGAGGGAAGGAGAGAGAGAGAAGAGGAAAAGAGAAGAGGGGGAAAGGAGAAAGAAGAGGAGAAGAGAAGAGGGAGTAAAGGGAGAGGAGAGGAGACGAGGGAAGGGAGAAGAGAAGAGGGAGTAAAGGGAGAGAAGAGGAAAAGGAAGGGAGAATTGAAAGAGGGAAGGAGGGAGAGAGAAGGGGGAAGTGAAAGAGGAAAGGAGGGAGAAAGAAAAGGGAGAGGAAAGGAGAAGAGGGAAGGGGGAAGTGAAAGAGGGAAGGAGGGAGAAAGAAAAGGGGAAAAGAAAAGGGAGAGGAAAGGAGAAGAGGGAAGGGAGAAGTGAAAGAGGGAAGAAGGGAGAGAGAAGAGGAGAAGAGAAAAGGGGGGAAACGGAGAGGAAGGAGAGAGGGAAGGGAGAAATGAAAGAGGAAAGGAGGGAGAAAGAAAAGGAGAAGAGAAAGAGGAAGGGAGAAGAGAAAAGGGAGAAAATAGAGGAAAGGAGGGAGAGAGAAAAGAGAAAAGAAAAGGTAGAAAAGAAAAGGGAATGGAAGGAGAGAGAAAAGGAAAAGAGAAAAGGGAGAAAAGAAAGAGGAAAGGAGACAAAGAGAAAAGGTGGGAGGGGGAAAAGGGAGGGAAGAAGGAGAGAAGAGGAGAGAAAGAGAGGAAGGGAGAGGGTGAGAAAAGGAAAGAGATGAAAAAAGGAGGGACTGTGTGTGAGAGAGGGACTGAGAAAAGGAGAGAGAGAGAGAGAGAGAGAGAGAGAGAGAGAGAGAGAGAGAGAACAGTGAGAGAAAAAGAGAAAGGGGGAGTGAAAGGAACAGGAGAGAAAGAAAATAATTGAAATAATAATAATTAAGTTATTTTTTTCCATTTGTTACAATGATTATTCTTAGTGTGACACGCTATCTGTCTATATTTGCCTTTAAACTAACCCCCCCCCCCCCCGTGTGCAAGGAATGGCCGGGGTTACCATCCACTGGCGGTACGGGATTTGAACGCGGGTCACCAAGATTGCTAGACGAGAAAGACGAGAGCGAGAGAGAGTGAGAAGAAGAAAAGAAGGGAGAGAAGTAAAAGGGAAGGAAGAGAAGGGGGAAAGAGATGGGGAAGAGGGAGAGAACAGAAGGGGATTATAGGTTGAATAGGTGAGTGGTTGGAAGGAAAGGAAGGGAGACAAGGAAAGAAAGAGAGAGAGAGAGAGAGAGAGAGAGAGAGAGAGAGAGATGGAGGAGGATTTAGAGGGAGAGGGAAAAAGAAGAGAGAGAGATAGAGCGGGGGGAGGAGGGAGAGGGAGAGGGAGAGGGAAAAAGAGAGAGAGAGAGAGAGAGAGAGAGAGAGAGAGAGAGAGATGTGGGAGAAAGAGAAGATGGCACACAGACAAACGAAAAGAAGGAAAGAAAGAAAATCAGAACGAAAGAAAGAAAATCGGAACGAAAGACAGAAAAACAAAGAGACGATAACTAAACGAAAGAAGAAGAAGAAGAAGAAGAAGAAGGAGAAAAGAAACGAGAAAGGAGCGAAATCGAAAGCATATTTTCCCTATTTAGCAGCACAAATTCCCGCTCGCCCGACAGATCAAAGCGGGGAGAAGATAATGCCGTGGAATTTATAAGTTACGAGAGGTTGAGGGAGTAGCACCTCGGTTATTATTATCATTATTATCATTATTATCATTATTATTAATCTCTCTCTCTCTCTCTCTCTCTCTCTCTCTCTCTCTCTCTCC